GGCGCGCGGTGCAGGCAGCGCGGCGCGCGGGCCGTGGCGTACTGCTCACCTCGCACAGCATGGAGGAGTGCGAGGCGCTCTGCTCCAGGCTCACTATTATGGTCAACGGCCGCTTCAAATGCCTCGGCACGCCCCAACATCTCAAGAATAAGTTCTCTGAAGGTAAAGTATTCATAATATAGCTGAATTTTATCTCACCTAATATATGATCAGTTTTTCTATGACTAATATAAAGAGGAAAACTTTGATTGTAATAAATAGGCTCAAAACTACTGGACCGATTTTAAATTCTATCAACGTTAGAAAGGTTATTTATCTGTGAGTAACATATATTTCTTTTATTTCATTATTTTTATTTTTAAATTTCACGCGGACGGAGTCTCGGGCAAAAGCTAGTTCTAAATAATGAGATACACATTTTAAAATGTATTCTGACGGAATTTAGAAGCAAATGGAACTACGACATACTTTTAAATTATTAAGCGTTATCTATTGCGTGGTATGCGAGGTGATGTATTTACCTAGATTAGCTAAGAAAGAATCATAAGTGTGCAGCCTTGATCTAATTTAGATAAAGCAGTGTAGTAAACAAATTAGATTTGATATTGCAAAAATAATATTCATGTTTTATTGAAACGTTTCTAGTGACATTTTGAACAAATTTAAAATTTGTATTTCCAGGCTTCACTCTGACGATTAAAATGAAAATGGATGAAGATGGAACACCAAATGAGAACACTGTTGTATCCGTGAAGAACTTTATCAATTGTAATTTCACCAACCCAAAACTCATGTAAGCTATTTTAATTTTCTTTTTTTTTGTCAAAATATTTTAGACACAATTGTTTCAAGCCAGTATCACGTATTTGCTATTCCAGGGAAGAGTATCAAGGTCTACTGACGTACTACTTACCGGACAGAAGCATGGCGTGGTCTAGAATGTTCGGTGTCATCGAGCGCGCCAGGCGAGAGCTGGAGGTAGAAGACTACAGCATATCGCAGACCACGCTCGAACAAATATTCCTGCAGTTCACTAAATACCAAAGAGAAGGTATTCAGCAAAGTTCCTTGTAAATACCGTGTGAAGGTTTGACTGCCATACTAATCTCGTGTTAGGTCGTTATAGAGATCGTCGATAACTTGGTCGTTATAGAGAATTCGGGAATTTATCGTATACGGATAAATGACTAATGAAAATGATTGGTCGACGTAAGCAAAAGTAAGGAATATCTCGCCCAACGAGTGCGTAAACGACCAAAGAAACTGCACCTTTAGCAGTCTGCTCACTGAATTGTGTCGTATGTTTCATATAGTTTTATGTTATTGTGAGTTTCCACCGCTAGAAAACATGTTTTTATGTCAGTTTTTACAATGAGAGTGAAAGGGTGGACAATATGAGCTATAATAATGTTTCCTAGATGCAGTAGAAATCCCTGGTTACTTCGTTTGTTGGATTTTTATGTATTTCTTTGCATAAGTTTAAATTTACATTCCTAATCTATAGATTCCTTTAGAAATAACGCACAATTGTTTATTTTAACATGGCCGTAAGTTATATAAAATTTTGATGATGCGAACAGAATCTGTATGACATGTATCAGACGTTTATTTGTGTTTGTTTTGTATTGTTTTAGTAAGGCAAAAAACTATTTGCGTAAGTAATGTATTGTAGAACTAATGCAGTCGACGTTATAAAAACGTTTGTATACGTTTAAGACAATTTTGCTCTCTAAAATTGCATTCCATGTCATTGATAATTGAATTTTATTTGCGACTTTAATCTGTTTACCTAACTTTTATTTATGTAAGAACGTTCTTGTGAATTGTAAATATGTTTGTTTTGTATGTAAATTGTAACAATTTGTGACTAAGCAGATAGAAATATTACAATTACAAATGCTGTTGTTATCCAGTTAACTACTTTTTGCGTATTTCGACTTCTACATCTGACTGCAATTTAGGCAAATACAAGCTACATTATTTTTTTATATATAAGATAATTTTGTGTAACTACTTTTTTAAATTAGCTGTAATATTTTTACGACAGTATGTAAATTTGATAGAAAATAGTAATAGTTAAAATCTAAAATTTATAACGTTTTAATTCTTTTAAGAATATTTTTCATTGTATTTGCCGCCTAATGTATTGTAAAGATGTTTTAAACGTCACCCGAGCCATGGTATTACCAGAATAAATGTATTTTTAATATAAGTGTTAATGTTAATAAAAATAAAACAAAACTTATTTGGTAAGTACTTTAGTTTTATTACAAATCATGTAAACCTACAATCGATACATACATACGAAGTTATTTCTTATTATATAGATAAGCAAATTAAGTGTTTCCTGCATTAAAGTATCACATATAAAGCCACAATTTAAATTAATATTCAAAATTTATAACTTACGCAAATAGGTGCTAGATTCATAAATAATTTCTCGAGTGAATACTTTTTAAGAATACTAATAAAAACTGGCGACATTGTGACATAAACTGGCAACATTAGGAACGTCATTCCTTATAGTTTCAATCTAAAATAAATATAGGCAATAAACTGCAGATAACAGATCACAAATAATATCACAAAAATCCACAAATTGATTTACAGCCGTCACACGTTGTACTCAAAATATATCCGAACATATACGATCTTAAACGAATGAGTAATATTTTAAAACATGAATATGGTTTATAAACCTACACAAATAGACAAAGAAACTATAACAATCTATTCCCAATCGAGAACACAACACTACGAAAAAAATTGCTAAGGAGGTCTTTCGTAGGACTGAACAGCTTTCAATTTTGTTAGATTTATCTGAATGATCGGATTGTCCAGATAAAACTGACATATAAAACTGATTATGTATAGTGGGTTTTATAAATCGAAACATACCATATTCATGTTTTTCATTCATAATTGTACTTAAAATAAAGCCATTAATGTAACATTGAGTAATCCTGTATACTAGCAATGTAAATTTTATTTAATTTGCAAATAATAAATTTGTCTAACTTCTAATATACATATATAATCACAGCGATATAATACATAATTAAATAAATATAATTTTCGATTTGGTCTGGATTAAATTAAAAAGTAAGCCAATTTGTACTTAAAACTAAAGTTCACTAAAGACGTTTTTTGAGTAACACTTCTTTAGTGCGATAATTCAATTTTAGTAGAATATTAATTCCCGACAAACAATACATCGAAGTTTCCAGAAATTCGAGAAAAATACATTAAGAACCTTCTGATGCTTTAATCACATCGAATCAAAGAAGTTTTACACCAATTTGTAAAAGCTATATTAAATTTGTATTAAATTCCGAACAATTAACTACTTACAATAATCTAAGCACACAATCTTAAAGCACCATAATATAATTTGCAATTAAAATAAGTACCTTGTAATACAAAATGTTATTAATTATTTTCTAAAATGTTAAGTTTGAGATATTTCGTATAGTTGTAAAAAATAAATGTAGTTTAATAGGCAAATTGTACTTTCAGTCTTGGAAAGCTGAAATATAGCGATTTGAAGTTAAATAATCTATAAAACATAGCTGGATATTATGATAAAATCTTATAAAACTGGTAGTCAGTAAATATTATAGAATTCAATTTTTCGTCTTCAAACGTGAAAATGCAATTCAATAAATTAAAAACAAATTAACAATTTTTAAATCATTTTCTAAAAAAAAAATGTATAATATAGTAAAATACATAATATGCATTCAGTATTATTTTTTTCTTAATACAGTCATATTTAGAATCAACACGTCAAGCAATAAACTCTTTCAGCCATACAAAAAAAAACGCGGTATGAAATTAAACTTAGGAATAAACTTGTAACTAATATGTGTTTATATTCAGTTTATTCCTATGTTTTTATACCGCGTTTATTAGTAAGACTGTTTCAGTTCAAATGCGTATAACGAATATTGCTAAATATAAAACATCAACCGACTTTTTAATATCAAGCTATATTTTAAAGATTCACTATTTCACATGTATTTTATGTTCTATTTGTAATTGTCTACAATTTTGTTAGATACAGTAAAACACGATCACAATACTAATAGATATACATTATTCCAAATACACGTCTAAACATTAAACACCAATATAAAATAAGATACATCGATATTTCCAAATATTCATTTACTAGAAAAACTCCGAATTAATACATTTACAATGCGTACACAGTAACATGACTCATTTCTTCGATAATTCATGTTTAAATTTCGTTACATGAGCGAGAAGAAAGATACAACTTTATGCAGAGAGAATGAGACAGGACTATGCATTGTATGCCAATTTCACATTACTGTGCACGCAAGCTTACGATTTCTAATAAATTTATCTATTATTGTAGAGATTCATCTAAACGAGGTTATATAGGAGTCATTTATAAATTATGAAGTTCAGTCACTGGTTAAAAATAAGAATTGTAAATGACAAATGGCAAAAAACTAAGTGTAAAAAATTCGATATAAAAACATAATATTCAAATATGTACATAGGCTTGGACATTCATTTAACAGATATATTCAAATTGATTAAAGAAATACCTATGTAATTAAATAGTCAAAATCTTTAAATTTTTTCTTACAAAAAAATAAAATAAAAAACACTGTATATTGCATTGAAAAGTTGGTATTATTACGCTGCATTACCTTGCATCCTCGTAAATCCGAGGAAGACTTGCTCGAGCGTAGTCTGAGACACCGAGTAGTCCTCTATTGGCAAGTCCTGTCGCGCATTCTCCATGATGTGGAAAATCTTCCACCACGGCAAATCTTCGTCTTTCAAATAGTATGTACTTATTCCCAAATATGTTTCACTGAAATATACAACAGGAAATTGTTATTTTCATACATAATAAAAAAGCTTGTAAAAAAATAGAAATATTTTCCACTTACATGAGTTTAGCTTCTTTGAAGTTATCTGCTACATACTGATTTATACGAGATACATTGCTATCCCTGTCCGGACCTGATTTACTCTTCACTATTAACGTGTAACCTGTAAGAATCGTTTTGTAAAT